CAAACCATAGCAGATGTTCTTGACATACCACCAAAGATCGTATATCAATAGCATCTCGTTATAATATGGGAACTTTTTCCTTACCGTAGTTCTGAAGGAATAAATAAAAGTCTGGTGAATAAATTTGTCCCAAAATAGATAGAAGAAAATAATCTCCCTTTCATTAGCAAGAGCAGCGATATCGTGTTTCACATTTTAATCCCACAGGGTTTGCACTGACAGCATGCTTTTTATGTATTGAATATCTAGATGATTGTGGTGATATACCGATAAATAATTCTACAAAACGTGGTGGAGGTGGTAGTACATTTCAAAATAGTGGTTCGTCAGGTGGTGGTGGTGGTGGTCTTTATCCATGTTCCGTGTGCCATCGAAATTTTTCAAGTGATCGTATTCAACAACATGAAGTAGCATGTACGAAATCTAATAAACAACGTCGTGTATTTGATTCGACCAAGCAACGGTTACAAGGAACAGAAGCAGCATCTTTCTTTCGTAAAGGAAAAGGACGAAATGAACCTGCTAAACCTCAAGTAAAATTTACTTAACATAATCATTTGAAATCGAAAGTTTTCTTTTTGTTTTGACAGATTTCTAAATCGAATTGGAGACAAAAACATGAAGATTTTATTCGATCTATTCGTTATGCTAAACAAGCATCGGATTATGAGAAAGCAGGTATGGAAAAACAACAGTAACAAAGTGTAAACTAAAAATAATTGATAATATATTTTATAGGAGGTCGTCTAGCTGATTTACCACCACCACCTGCTTCTATGAATCCTGATTATGTTCAATGTCCACATTGTGGACGTAACTATGCACCAGGAGTAGCTGAACGACATATTCCAAAATGTGTCAATATTCAGAATAAACCAAAACCACCACCAGGTATCAATCGAACGGGCACTCAACAACGTATAGGTGCTGGCAATACTCGTACACCTATAGCTAATTACAGCAGTAGCACTGGTGGTTTTGGCAATAATGCTGCTTATCCACCTCCAAATAGATCCACACGTGGTAGTCGTTATTAAACACAGAAAAATGTTTTGTACAAAGCTTAATTTTCCTTCTTTTTCTTTCCGTTTCACTATTATTCCCTAAGTGTTTATGTGGAAAGTATTACTATTCTTTTAATCATTTCTTTTTCTCTGGTATCTATTAATACTGATATCGTTCTATCAGATTTCTATCAGCAAAAAACAATAATCTCAGAACACAACTAAGAAAAGCAAGTAAGACATCTATTGTTCTATTATTCAATTCACTCATACAGCTACCGGTTTTTTGTCTTCATTTATTTATGTTTCTTTTCATTTCTCTTTATTGAATGTTGTTAAATTTTGTGATTAACCTAAGCACTATGATTTACAATTGGAGGAACTATTCTTTCCTTTTGTTTTTCTTTTTAAACTGATAATTAATCATTATCAGATTCAAATCTTCAATTGATATTGTGATTTACATTTATCTATAATCTCATGTCTCATTTTTACACATTCACACTGATATTTAATAAAAACATTACAAAAATAAAACATACATACATTCGTTATTTCTACAAAAACTCAAGTTTAATATGTCTGTACTTTTTACATAGTAATTCTACGATGCATATAATAAATAGTTAAGCAACAGCAAAGAAGGATAAAAGATGCATAAGAATAACTATGTATTGTTACTGTTTGATTAATAATTTTTGTTGTAGCAACGTAGACAATAGCTGTTGATGTTGTCAGATTCAAGCAGTTTCGGACAGCTGAATATTTATTACAAAGTCCATCAAGGCCATATACATATTTTGTACGATTAGAAATAGACAATTTTGAAATAATGCCATAATAACGTCTAGATGGATTGATATCTAAACAAAGAAATGTAGTCTATTTAGAATTTGAGATATGAGAAAATATTTACTTGGATGTAAAGCAAATAATGTCAGCAAAGCAGCAAGTAATAAAAGTAAGAATAAAGCCGAAAGTAGCAAACAAAGCAATGGAAATGCTAATATTCGATCACAAAAATTACACAAAGAACAATGACGAGTACACCAATATTGACCCCATTGACAACAACGATATGATTTTCCTTCCTATTGAATAAGCGGACTAATACGTAACAAATAAACAAATAATTAAATCTACCTGTTGGAGAGCATAGCGATATTTTTTTCTATTGACTTTAGCATAACTTCGACGAATTATTGTCGGTTGTTGATAGTGAGAATTAGGTTCATAAGAAACACTTCCATCAGGATTGATTATTGTGACATAATCAGGAATAGTTTCGTTTGGTGGTGTTCGTACGATCAAAGGGGTTACAGTTGATGTTGTTAACGGCATAGTGTTTTGCTTTACAAATGATGTGAATTCTTCGTTTTTTTTCTTGTTTCAAAATCATTATGGACACTACAGGTTGCCATCGTAAGATGAATGATATGACATCAACAATTAATATTTCACTTTGCCTGTCGACATGTGTATTTATTATTAATCAACTTTTATATACTTTGATTCCATTTATATGAAAGGAATTGAAAAAAGATTAATCATACGTCTCTTTTCATCTGATTTAATTCAAACTAACATATTTTTGTAGTCTTTAAATTTTGCATATAAGATGTGAATCGAAAGTTTCTAGAGAAAATATTTGATCATTTTTTCGCGTAATTGAAATGCATTGAAAAAGAATGAAAATTAGCGTCGTAGAATCAGAGTTTTCTGCTCTTTCGGAATATATGCTAAGAATTTTTCGATGACTTTTGAGTATTGAACTATAAGTAAGTCTTCACAAAACTAAAACAAAAATTTTTCGGAGAAGCATAAATCTGATTTTTCTGAAGACAAGTCTGCTTCCTGTCGACATCAAAGCTATTAGTGCAATCTCTATCGGATTAAAATGTGAAACACGATATAATTACTGTTACTAATCACAGGAAGATTGTTTTATTCTACTTATTTTGAGATATATTTCTTCACTCTGCCCTTACTTAGTCCTTCAAAAGTATAATAAAGAAGTAATTAATATATTGTAACGAGTCATTATTGATATACGGTCTTGAGTAGTATATTAACAACGTCTGTCGCAATCTGTGTATTTGGGTTGGGGAAAGTATACATTTCTACTCAATATACTTCAACACTACGTAAGAATGAAGAGTTTTGTTTAATACCCTAAAATATGGCAAAGTTATTTTCAATGTATTTCAATACGTAGACAATAGTCAAATATTTTGTCTAGAAACTTTCATTCCACCCCTTATAATCGAAAGTACAATAAATGCTTTTACAAGTTACTTTATATCGCAACAACAAATAGAATTATCTAATAAATAGTTAAGCGCGAGTGATTAATTGAATTCGATGAAATAAAAGTTTTCTATAAAGTATGTTTTCAAGAAATAAGATTATTTTTATTACAGCTATTGACAAATACGAAACTCAAATAGACGTTTATATAAATAACTTAGATAAAATATTCCAAACTTTATTTTTAGAATGCATAAAAAGAAATTTCTCGATAAATACAACAAACGATTAAACAAAAACCTAGCAATATATATGAATAAGTCATTGTTACTATTGTTCGATTTATGTTTATTGTTGTAGCAACAATATTTATAGCTGTCGATGTTGATATATCTAAACAACTTCTAGCAACACTTGTTGTAGAGCAAAGCTTATCGAGATTATATATATATTTAGTGCGATTAACAATTGATAATGTTGAGATAATACCATAATAATGTCGTGCTGAATTAATGTCTGTAAGAAAAAAGAAATGATCAATGTGGACATTCAGATACAAACAGAAAAAAACCTTACTAGGATGTAAACCAAATAAAGTCAGTAAAGCAGCAAGTAATAAAAGTAAGAATAATCCAGAGAGAATAAAAAATAGAAGTGGACACGCTATTATTCGATCACAAAAATTACATATTGGACATTTACGAGTACACCAATATCGACACCATTGACAACAACGATATGATTTATCTTCCTATAGCGGCGAATAGAAAAAATAAAATATTTAACGAGAGAAGTCCTCCAACTGATTAATCACTTTTGAACCGAGACTATGTGCTTCATGTGGATTCTAATGAGTTATGAATACTCTGAAAAGAGTTCGAGTCTTTAACATATTGTAGCCGAGATACTCTTTTGCACTGCTCATATGTACCAGAGTTGTAACCGGTTCAGTTGAAATGGTTGAATCAGCATGTCTTCACTAGTTGAAAAATATTAGACACACATGACATTTTTCTCTGATAAAACTTGTTGAGAGCAAGTTTCTTTGTTCTTATCAAGATAATCAAAAAGTGCTGTGTCAAGAACTATCAGTTTAATTTTCTTTTGCTCGTTTGTACATTTTATTTTTTAAAAAACACAAACAAAATTGTGTTTCTTGAACTAAACTGATATCATATATGCTTTTGTATAGATCAAACTTAGTTTTGAATCGTTGTTTAAAGAGAAATGTTAATTTTATTTGCAAATGATGAATGAGAAAATTCAAGACTTGAAACTTACCAATCACGACATATAGAACTAGAACAGAATATTTGATCTTGAAGGTTTGTAAAAACTTAAGTGCAAAAAAAGAAAAAGAATGGTTGCTTTGAAGCAATATCCGTTTACCGACTAATACTGATTCAATAAGTCGGTTAATTTTTACTAGTTTTCACCAATCTAAAAGACTTTTTGAACCGACCGAACCGGAACAGTTGAGTAACTCTCAATCAGTTACGAACTGTGATATACACCAGAAGGTTTGCTGTTCTTATTTCAGGAAAGAAACAAATCAAAAGATCTGAAACTTTTAAAATAAACTGTGCTTATTAAGATATATTTCTATGCAAAGTTTCGGTTCGAAATTCGACAAATGAGCTTTTCTCGTTTTTCTGAAGAAAGCCAGTATATTCACTTAAAAATAAACTATAAGTTTCGACTCTAAAGTGATTAATCAATTAGAGAACTTCCTTCGGAAGAAAAATCAATTCAGTTAACCTGTTCAATTGTATATTGATATTTTGGTTCAGAAGGTTGTAGATAAGTACGATATGCAGTTCTTGGTGTTTGATAATTAACATATGGCTCATAAGAAATCGTTTCATTAGGATTAATTACCATAACTTGATCGTAATTATTTTGATTTCTTGATGTTTGTACGATCATAGGCATTATAGGTGATGTTGTCAACGACATGTTATTTCATTACACAAATGATTAATATTCATTTTTTTTGGTTTTTTTCTCAACCTGTTCTTGAACACAGCAGGAAATCAATAATACATAAATAATATAACAACAAAACAAAAAAAACATGATATTTTTGCGACCTACACATCTGCACTCTTTGGAACCAATATTCTACTCGAAAAGTTATTGAGATGTATTTCATTTAAATTAATCAAAAAAGAAAATCTATTATTTTTCTTAACTGTAAATTTAGTGAATTTTTCGTCTTAAATCATCTTGACATTGAAAATGAAGGAAGTCAAAGAAAAGCTTGAATGAAAGCAGGTAAACATGACAAACAAAATGAGCTAAAACATTTCTCAACATTTTAGGCACCAGAATGTTTGATAAAAGTTAATTTTTTTGTTTTTAATAATAATATTGTCTTGCTATGTTTTTTTTTCTTTTCAGTGACAATATATTTCATCTATCTTAAATAGAATTATGATAATCATATTCTTGATCAATACAACGAATAGCGAAAACTACTCAAGCAAAATTGATATTTATTAAATAAATAAAAAAACGAATTTTTTTCCCATAAATATAATAAATTATTCAGTAAATAAGAAAAAAATAGCAATATATATATATATATGAATAGTTCATTGTTATTATCATTTGTTTTGTTAGTAATTTTTCTATTAATATTAACAATCAATGTCGATGTTATTATATTTAAATAAATTGTTGAGAAAATACCATAATAACATATTGATGGATGACGTCTAAAGAAAGAAATACGATCTATCTAAAATTTGAGATACGAGAAAAGGCTTACTCAGATGTCAACGGAATAGAATCAGTAAAGTAACAAGTAATAAAACTAAGAATAGAATAGAAAATAGAAAACCGAATAATGACTGTGCTCAAATTCGATCACAAAAATTACATATGGGACATTCACGAGTTCGCCAATATTGGTGCCATTGACAACAACTATATAATTTCCCTTTTGATCAAGAGAAGCAAGAATGAATACATAACCAAAGAATTAATTACATTAAACTACTCAATCGTATAACGATATTTTGCTTTAAAATATTCATACTAACTATAACGTATGATTATCATTTGTTGAGAATGAACATTTCGTTCATAAGAAATACTTCTATTAGATGTAATGTACAAAGCAAAACAAATAATCAGTGGAAGAATAATTATCTAGTATTTATGTCATCAAGAACATTAGATGTTAGCCAATATTCCTAATGATAGCCTATGTTGTCTATCAATGAGTTTCAATTCTTTTGTTTTTCATTGCAAAACATCGGCAAACACGACAGGTGTTGTCCGTTTCATCATACAACTAATTCTATGACATCACTTTTCCATGCTTTATCTTGACACAAAGATATTCAAATAAATTATATATTCTCCTTTTTTTTCTCTGATTGAAAAGCAAAAAACATCAAAATACTAATATACTATCGTTTAAAACATTCTTTTTTCTTGCAGTACATATAAAAGAAAGAAGAAAAAGAAAAAGACGACAATCATAATGATGGTAATGATAATAGTAAAATAGTTTATTTAAGATATTTGGACGTATTACGCTGCATCAAATCCATACATGGTCCTAATAAACGTTCAAATGATTCAACTTCTAATGAAGCTAATTTAACTTTTGGACTAGCTGCAATAATTGTTGCTGATCGAGGCTCATGATTAAGTAAAGCTAGTTCACCAAAATAATCCCCTTTATTTATACGTTTATGAAATTTACCATTCATATATATATCACATTCACCATCTTCAATAAAAAACATTCGATCACCTTCATCACCTTGTTTAATAATTATTTCATTTTGATTATATTCTATTGGAATTAAAGCATCAGCAATATTTGATCTTTCATAATCAGTTAATGATTGTAAAATAGTAAGATCACGTAAGAAATTTTCATACATTTGTCGTTTACGAAATGCATGTTTTAAAACAAGTTTACGAAATGTTTGTCGACCCATAGCCCATAAAACACCATCTGTATTAGCAATTATTGTTGCTGAACGTGGTTGATTATACATTAATGCAAGTTCACCAAATGAACCTGTTTGATTATATTCACCAACTTTAATTGGTTTACTAAAATCAGCTTCTTTCGATACATAAATTTCATAAACACCATTATCAATAACATAAAAATGATCACCGTCATCACCTGAAACAAAAAAAAAACATTTTATTTTTGTTTTTTCATAACATAAAAGAACGAATCTTTATTTACCTTGTTGAATAATAATTTCACCTTTTTGAACTGTTTTTTCCCACATTGCATCAAGAACTTGATCAATTTGTTTAGCTTCAAGTGTACGAAATAATAAATTATGACAAACAGCATCTTTTAAACGTTGACGTTGTGCAGAAGTCTTTGGATAAATGAGAGGTTGTTCACTATCAGAATCGTTATCATCTTCAGGATTATATCGTTCAGCTGCAACAGATATTCGACGAAATTCATTCTTTTTCACATAATGACGCTAAAAAAATAATTAGATCATCAATAGAACAAAAGAAAGAAAGTAAATTTATTCATAAATCTAGCTATTTACATACTCGCATCTCTTCGTCAGCAGCAAGATCATCAAGTGAGTTATTCTTTTCATCCTCATCTTCACTTGATTTGTCTTCATTATCTGTGTCTTCTTCTGCTGATATTGATAATGTATGATCAGTTGATATATTTTCTAAATTATTTGTATCTATACTTGTCATTGATTTATCTTTTTCGGATGTTGAATTATTATTTTCTTTCGTTGAAATGTTTCCTAAATCATAACAACAAATAACAATCGCTGTATTAGTTTGATGCTTCGAGCTACCTAATTTCCATAAAGATCTATTCATTTTCTTTTTTTGCTTTATTTTGATGTCGATCACAATTTAGTTAGCGCAAAAAAACAAGATGAGTAGACAAATAGAGCAAAACCGACAAAAAAAACATCAATTGTATTTCTTTTCCTGCTCAAGAATATATTTATTTATTCTATAATAATATGACAACAATCTCATTTTTTAGTTTTTCTTAGTCGTATTTAGTTTCGAACCGTTTTCTTTCAAATTATCGTTTTAGGTTTTTCTCATAATAGAAAGAAAACAAAAACCTTGAATATTATAGTGTCTTTCTGTTTTTCCTTTGTTTTTTTTTCGAGTATATTTTTACATAATGAGAAGTAACATGATTCATTGATAAGCCTCAAAGGATCGATTGAAATGCAATGGATGTCAGATGAGTATGGAAAAGACGTATTGTTTTCTTCTAGTGTTGCTCTTACGAATAACAATCCCATAGTAATCAACAAACTATAACATGAAATAAGAGAAAATATATATTCTACATTCATGTCACGCAAACATCTATTGTCTATTTTCTCTATTTTTTCTACAATCTATAAAATCGACTTTGTTTTTCTGGTATCTACATAGAACAAATGAAAAAGTTCATTTTGCCGTTTTTTTTTCATTTTCAAGCGGAAAACAAGATCTGCTCGTACTTGTCTTAATGAAAAAATATGAACGATAATGTTTGACACGACTTTTGAATGCACATACAAACACACAGCCATACACTATATAGATACGCACCGGATGTCAATTTTCTAAGTGCCTATATAGAATCGATCGAGTCTCATGCAAAACACTGATTGTTAATTATAAACAAGCAAATGAAAACTAACGCTATTTGTTTCCGTTCGTAATGTAAAGATGAAACGAATAAATATATACATATAGCTTTTTTTATATGACTTTACCTTATTTGTTTCATTATAGCGAACAAAATATTTGTTATTTTAAGTTTTGCTTGAACAAAAATCGATGAAAACTCATAGAAAGCAATATCAAAATGATCATGAGATTTTTTTGCTTGTGAAGCAGGGAGCTAGTACACATCAGGAAATGTCTTAAGAATCTATCGACAGAATGAAAAAAAATATATCGCGATTAGCTAACTATGAACCTGATGATATAACATTGTGATCTGATGTTGGTTGTTGTTGTGGCTGTTGACTAGTGGAAGAAAACGAAGACGAAGAAACTGTCGTAACTGGTTTGTTGCCTGTCATGAGTTGTTCTGATTGTTGCCTTTGCTGTCGTTGTAATTGTGTAAAATACTCAACAGCATGATCAATAATATCACGTGGTTTTGTACGTAATACACTTAATGTAAAATTACGTAAAATACTTGGTAATTCACTAGGAATTTCGATCTGTGTCATTAGATAATATATTATCAAGATCTGAAATTGTAAAAGAGAAGAAGAAGAAAGAAACGAACAATATGAGTTTTTTATATTGTCACTTGTAATAAAAAGAACATTTTTTATCATTATTATTATATGACCATGTTTTCTCTCATTTTCTCTTTTTTCTTCCTACTTCATATATACATCTATATGTGCATACTTCGAACAATAACGATAGTCGCTAGAGAATGTGAATGCTAGATGAAAAGCAGTATTAAGACTAAAGAATATAAGTATTTTACCTTTTTAAATTTCTCGAACGAACGATGAAAAGTTCACACACACACACAAAAGAAAAAAGAGAGAATATAAATATAATCATAGCACGTTCTTATAATGTCTCGAAAAAAAGCATTTGTGATGTTTTTCAGAATCGTGCATGCATTAATAATAACTTTAGTTCGTTGAATTCAGATGTAAAGAATACCTATTGGCTTGAATCATGTGTCTCTGAATTCATTTATATTCATTCATCGATCTGTTTTTTCTTCTCCTTTCTTTTTTTTACAAGAAACGTACAGAACAATTTCTTTCAATCTCACTTATATGGCTTTTTTCTATTGCATTGTCCTCATTTTGATATTCGTCCTAGACTAGTTTTCTTCCTTCTATAAAAAATGGAAAAAAATAGGTATTAGAAATCTAAGAAAAGCATGTTTTTCGAGCTTATAATCGTAAAGATGTGCGAAACGACGTTATTGTTTAATTTTGTGCTCGTTGTTGTTCAAGTTTCTTTCGTCTCCTCTCTTTCCTCTTCCGTTAGGAACCAAATTTTTTTTGATGATGTTCTTGCCTTTGCTCCATTTTTTTTTCTTTTTTTTAGATTGCAAGAGAAAGCGAGAGCAAACAATAATCAAGCGTTGACAATTTTTCTCAGCATATAACAAAGTCAACGCCCTCTGGCTTTTTCCAAACAGAATTATCATTTCAAGCCTCATCTATCTCTAGTATTTCTATCATCTTGATTTTTTTTGTAATAGAAAAATATGACATGTATTTTGACTAGGCAAACCGCAAAAAAAAACAATTTTTTTCTCAGAACTTTTTTTTTTGCCGCAACGAAAAAAGAAATGAGAGAAAGAAAACAAAAGAACAGATCAACTTTCTCCGCACCTACAATTTATTCTATACATAGTCCTCAGCAATCTATTAAAGTGCAATTAAAGAAAAAGACAAACTTAAACAAGAAAAAGCAGTTTTCTTTAGGGTATGATTTCTTTCGCCGCTTACATAATCACTGTTGTTGTTAACGCCGAATGCGCAACAGTAGAAACTATACGATTGATGATAATTAGAGGGCTATAATGAAGATATATGTATGCTTCAATAGATCGTCAATTCCCAATAGGCTTTAATATATTTATTGCTTACCAGATGATCCAGAATTCATGTTAAAAGTGAGCCCAATGAGAATCGGCTTGCTGCATTGATTTTTTCTTTTCCTTTTTGTTTTTAACAAAGAATAAATGAGACACGACGCATACACATTTACATACGGGGATCTGTCTGTCACCGGGAGAATACACATGCTTACCTATTCAAACGTGCTGATGTCAATAAGAAAAGAAAATCAAAGAAAAATAGAAAGAAAACATAAGAGATACAAACATAAAGGCAATCAACAGCCTACTAACAAAAACTCTGTTCCAAAAAAAGCAACTGACACGTTCGACTGTTTGCTTGCTCAGAACTCTTCTGATTTTCTCAATAATCAAATAACTTAGGCCTGTTTGCTTTATTTTGTTTATTGATAGATAGCAAAATGATGATGATAAATGGATGTACAATGACGACCATATATGCTATTTGTAGTAATTAGTCCGGTTAAGAGACAAAGTGATCGAGTTAATGGATTGCAAATCGATAAAAAGGGTAGATATACTAATAGAAATAAAATATCTGCAAAAAAAAAGAACAAAAAAATTTCATCAATAAACTTAAGAAAATTAAAATTGCATGGTCTTAAAAGAAAAATTCCTAGTTAGAAAACAAAGGCTAAATGAAATCAGGTAGAAAATTGCCGCCTGAAGGGCTTGGTTCAGTTTAGTAGGAGTTATTGCATGCTTTTCAATATACATGTTAGATTGGCAATGATGATGAATGACGAGCTATGACATTTGATTAGTGTTTGATTAAAGCTATGTGTATTGTGTATGTGTGTGCGTGCGTATATCATACGTTTAACTAATAGAGAGAGAGAGAGAGAGAGAGAGAGAAAGAGAGAAAACATAATAATCACTGGCTTTTCCGTATGTATTCTTAGGTCGGCACATAATAATAACCATACTAGATATATTCAGGACTAAAAAGGACCAACAAAGTATACAGCGAAAAAATGAGGCAATAAAGAGAAAGGGAAGCATCGTGACTTCATAGATGTGTTCTCTTCTGTTCTTTTTCTTTATCATTCTCATTGTTGAAGCTTCTCATCGTAATTGTGAATGGAAGATGAAAGCTAGCAAAAAAGAAAATGAAGAACTGATATAACATTCATTTGCCGTTGTCGTCTATTGTATGAATGTGAATGACAAGCCTCCTTGAATTCAATGAGGCTTGTTGGCGCATCATTGTCGCTTCGATAAAATCTTAGTATTAACAAACATAAAAAAGACTTCTACTTTGTCGAAAAAGTAAGCAAGATAAGAAACATAGAATATTAATGGCAAAATATATTGATGATGAAAACAGACGAAAGAAATATGGTCTATTGGAGCTATTGAAGTGTCATCAAAAGAGTTATTATGTCTATATTATGACAGACAAAAGATTTGCTACTTCTTTGAAAATAATATTGTCTTTTAAAGAAGTCAATGAACGTATTTTATGTTTTCAATCTCTACTTTCTTATGTTGATATGTACTAAGAATTATTAGAGTTAGGTTTTTCAATGCCATGGTGATTGCTTCATTGATTGATTATTGTGATTCTTTAATATAATATTTGTGTTTATCTAAATTTTTCTCTCTTCTATTTGATTATCATTTTATGAACAAAGAGAACATTTTCAAAAACGCTTTTCGAATGAATTGAATAGCTTTGATTATCTAATTTTTTCTGGTTCACTATTTCTTTTTTTGTGTATATTTATTTATAAAATGATCTAATAAAATTTTCATTGCACAGATTCTGTTTGGCTTTTTACGATAATATTGTTAACTTCTAATTCAATTATACACATCAGATCCAAGATTTCTTCAAAAATTGTTTTCTAAATAAAATTCTATCGATTTCAGTAAGATTGACTGATGGTAGCTACCGCGTCTTAAATTGTCTTTTTATTACTCTAATCGTATTTTATTAGATTACAAGACAATCAAATAAGCAATAGAGTCAACTTAATCTTCTGCTGTAACTGTGAAGTTCGTCATTATAATCGACGTGCATTTATGATACTTGCCGCAATAAAATACTTGGAGAATACTTCAGTTTATGCCAGTTGCTAATCGACTAATGTCATACAAATACAATATTAATGTTGCAAATAATGAAAATGAATATCGACTGTTTGCCGTGCTTGTGAAACTTTAATGAATTTTCATATTGTATTCTATATCTGATTGCTTCATTTAACACAAAAAGCAATGAAGTAATACTTTTTGCGATATGCTATTTTGTTATAAAAAGAAAATAACAAAGAAACAACATTAGTAAAATTCTAGATATTAAGATTAAAAAGGAAAATCTAATAATAATCATAGATTTTTTCATTAAAAATAAATATTTAGATGAAAGGTTGCAGTCGAAATCATAATTAACTTTTAATTTAATCAACATACACTTTATCAATGTCTTGACAAGAACTCTTTTTTTTCTTCATACTTTACTTTATAAAGAACAAAGAAAAAGGAACTCTTATAAAATAGAATTCAATTATTTTATATAACAGAAAATTAAATATTTTTCATAGAATTTGTGAAATAATAAGTTATATCTCATGTTTATTTATTGAGAACTTATATCGGTCTAGAGATTGACCTTTATCAATGAACTAAACCATGTACTTAGAACCTCTGTACTCTCCTATTAATTTTCACTAGAAAAATTCAATTACTCGGATCGATTATTAGTTCCGAACATTACATGAATATAGTATAATGATATTAAAAATTAAGTTTTAAGACAAATATTTTGCATATGTCGTCTTTTATTTATTTGCATTTTTTTTTGTAGTTCTCACCTTGAATTGTCGTTTGTCAATGACACATGACATGTACAGAACAGCAATGCAATATCAAATTATGTCCAGACATTGTATCTGTTATGTTTTATTCGGCTAACCTGATGGATGACAGATCAAATCATATTCTATCTGTTGGTTGAACTTACTTAAAATCTTACTGTTGTTTTTGACATTTTTGACAACACTTTCAGATATTTTCGAATAAATAACTTTGATCAGAATATCATTAATATTAAGAATAGAATTCTACTTCATTGTTGCATTCATCTTGAAAAGGTTTTCTATAATTATTTAATATCATTTTAACTTTAACTTCAATGTTAAATGCTATTAATATTAACGTTTCATTGAATTATTTAATGAATTTTTTTTAGGAGTTAGTTTTTCTTTTTTTGATCTTTTCTATCATGCATACTTCTGACATGTAATAACATAATATCTCCTACTTTTCATCTATTGACATTTATCCGTTTTTGAAATACATTGTGAGTCGTCTTAACTAAAAGTTGATGACATTTTTTAATTTAATAGTAGAACAAATGTAAATTTTGTAAATATATGTCATAGTACTTTTCATCATATGACAGAATCAACAGGATTAAGTTTTTTTCAAATGAAAAAAAAACAGCATATAGCATGATTCAATTGTTTCTTATTGAAAGAAAGAACTAAAAAGAATAATGGGTAAATTTGAATTTCATGTATTAAATTAGCTCATTTTTTTTTCTCACAATCGTTGGAATATGTCTACATAGTATGTGTTTATTTGAAAAGTGTTATTCCATAATACTCGAAGAAAAATTTTCTCAAAAAACAATGTTTTTCTTTGTATTAGAACAACTCGTCAATCGTTTTCTTCTTATTTCCTCTTAAGCTAAATAGGGTAAAGGCGATTACACCAAAATATAAGCATGACTACAGCCATATAAAATAGTAAAATCATTATTCTTTTATCCTTAATGGATTACTTAAAGAAAATTTTTTCTTACAAATAATATAGTTCATTCTTAATCATACATATATTGCATTTAATGAATCAATCGAATTAGCAAATCGAACTGCTCGGTGAACAATGATGCAAAGGAAGTTTTGCATTATGAAAGACAATTTATCTGATTGGTGCGATTTTTGAATTTCTTTTTTTTCTAGTAACAATTAACCATTAAACTGGCGTGTACAATACACACAAAATAATTTACTTTAGTAGAAAATAAAAAAACGAAATTTTGGTTAAAAAGTTATTTGTAAAAGCTACTAACGAGCTTAAATGAAAAACAAAAGAAAAATCGTCAGATCGACAAGGTATTCGAGTGAGGAAAAAACACGACAAAATGTGATAATTATGTAATAAAAGCAATCAACAAATACATTAAAAAAAACGAGTAATTGGGTCGAGCCTTTTCCATTTGCGTCTATTCAGGTATGCGTAATTCACGTTTAGCATAAATAAAAAATCCTTTGGATTTAATAATTCCTCGATTGGCAATAACGGATGTATAACGAACAATAGAACATGGTTTCCAATTAAGTGCATCATATTCATGACAATATTCACGAATTGTTTGTTGAAAATCTGATTCATTAATAACATCTATTCAAAAAGAAAAAAAAACAACATAATTATTCATCAATTATAATATTCAAAAATTCTTACCAATTGGATCACTATGTGTTAGAAGTTGGATATTATTTTCTTTAACATATTTATTAAGTTCTTCGGGAATAGAACAACATACACCTAAATTGATTTGATTCGCATAGGGCTTATGCTAAATAAAGAAGAACAATATAAACGATCGAGAATAATTTTCATTTATAAATGAGGTTACAAAAAAGTTGTTAGCCCAATTCCTGTGGGATTAAAATGTGAAACACGACATAGCTACTCTGGTTAATCTAGGGAGATTGTTTTATTCTATCTAATTTTAGACACATTTCCTCATCATCTTTCTACTTAATTCTCCACAAATGTAGCAAGGAAGTAATTTAACTAGATGTTATTACTATACGATCTATGATCGTATATCAGCATCGTCTACGACATAAGAAACGGAGGAGTGTTGTTAACGCGCTTATCACAATATGTGATGTTTTCATGGTTACGTCTGTCACAATCTGCGCGGGAGAGAGATGTTCCAAATTTCGACTCTAGATTTTCAATACTTCTTTTAGATCGAATTTCACAAAATTCTTTAGTAAAGCATAAAAATATAAAATCTATATTTTGCATGAATAGATGATTGATGAAATGAATGATACATTTATATGAAATCATTTAACTAAGTGAAGGGTTGAAAACTGAATTATTATGATTAATTACCTTAGCATTATCGTATAAATCAGATAAAAGTGGAAGCATAAAATCACAAACTCCGGCTGATAAAATTTTTTGTTTATCTATAAAATCTTCAATTATATTCCATAATGGCAAAAATTCCTTTAATGTTATGTGTGAACCATAATTAGGTAATGATATCATAAAACTTTCTAAATAATTTTCTTTTAATTCATTTAAAACTAAATATTAAAAAAGAAGCAAAAATAAATCTTATTTTTTATTTTACTTATTAAATCTAGATACAGACAAACCTGTATTAATTGTATGTGCTAAAATTTCAGGTTCTAATGAACGAAGAAATATTTTCACTGAAAATTTTAAATCTTCTCTTGTCAATTGTTCATGATCAATAGGAACACCTGCTGTTGATCCATTAGTAGCTGCTACATCATTATGATCTTGAATTGGAACAAGTTTAACATAACTTTCTTCCTATAAAGTTTTCTTGTTTAAAATTTTAAGAAAAATAATTTTTATAGGACTATACTTGATATTTTTTTACATCAATATTTATTCTCATGGCTTGTAACATCATTGACATGTATTGCATAACCTTATTTATAAATAATCAAACATAAATTTGTATTTTTAATAAATAATTACTTCATCGGTTATAGAAGAATTTGCCTTTTTTAAGACTTCAAATAAAGCCAATGTATTTCCTGTATAAAAAAGAATTTCTGTAGCTTTAGGAAAAAATGGTTTGAGTACAGGTCCTGATTTACATTGGTTGTCATCCTAAATAAATCAAATGATCAGAGTCTATTCCTCCAAAAAAAAAAATTCTTACCTGTGATTCGGTCGTCATTATTAATTTGGTATATGATTACGAAAAACGACGTCGAAGACAAAAACAATGAAGAGGAAAAAGGCAAACAACAAGTGACTTTTTGCGTTCTGAAAGTGAATAAGAAAAACAAGATGATTGTATGATAAGGTTTGCTTTTTCTTTTCTCCTCTGTATTTATATTCCAAATGAGATCATGTGAAATGATCACATGACAAAAAACGAAAGTCGCTAATTTTTCATCCAAAAATCGCAATATCATAAACATGCACACCGGAAACAAAACAAGTAGAAAAAAAAGATGAAACAAACATATCAGACTAATTGATAAAAATAAGCAACAATTTTTTTTTATTTTGTTTTTTTGTTTCTATGAACTAATTTTTATAAATTGGCAGAAGATGTGCCTCTGTATTAAATAACCATTGATCAAAAGGAAATAAATTTTTTTTATCAAAAAGTAAATACAAATATTTTAATGTTTCAGCAAGAAAAAAGCTTTCCATTTTATCACGTGGTCGAACATTATCTTTATTTCGTACATCATTTATTGATGAGTAACCATCAGTTTGTCGCGTATATTTTTCAAATGATTGAAATATTTTCCAACCCCAATCTTGATAAGTTTTATCATCAGTTAAATAATACATATAATATAAAGATTCAATTGTTTCTGGTCGTAATAAATTGTGTGCATCATTATCCTTCAAAACAAAAAAACAAAAGAAATAATATTTTTAAGAAAAGAAGAAAAGATTCAAGTTAAACATACTCGAACAGTTATTGTTTCTCCATTTAATTGTGGATCAGTATTAAAATAAGCGATCTCAGGACTAAGACCTGTAGCTTGTTTAGCATACATTTGATAACAAGTTTTTGTTAAATCTTTTGCCATATCAAGAAGATATATTAAATCACGTTGATAATACCAACCAAGAGCCAAATTACCAGCAAGAAAGCAAACCAAATGATCCTAATTAAAATTTATATTGATATAAACTTTAATTTAAAATTATTTCATTTACCATTTTTGGTGAAAATGTTGACATGCCCGTTAATTCACCAACAAAATAAAGTTTTTCTGGATAAGCTAAACGCCAAAGATGTTTGCGCAGACCGTCTAGATAAATTTTAAAAACTAATTTCGTATTTAGTTTATTTCACTTAACTTACCAATACATTCAATCCAATCTCCCCAAAAACTATAATAAATAGCAAATAAACATGAACTAATTTTTTTCAACATATTAACAGATGAAAAGAAAGCGAACATTAAAAGTCACAACAAAACTTTAATTGAACTTAGACTCACGAGAGAATTGTTAAATAATAAAAAGTTTTCTGAACATTTTCTTCAGGATGCAAAACTTGACAGAGTCTTAAGTGAATCATTGCCTTGCATATTTTATCTTGAGTATCTACTTAATGTAAACAACTTTTTACGGTATATTATTAAAAAATCGAATATCTGAATTTCGATCGGACATTTTGCATGGGAAGACATTTTATGAGAAAACTATCCAGAACCGTAACTAGCTGTTTGAGCTCATATTGAGGATACAAAGGAGTCTCCTTAAGATTTGAAAAAGCATAAAAACGTCTATGTCTATAATCTTTTGGAATATCTTGAAAATTTCAGCCAAAAAGAATATTCCATTGTCGAGATATTCAATTTCCAAGTAAACTCGATTTTTTTGTGATATAACTGTGTTCAAAATTCAATATCTCAACAAATGAATATTCTTTACAGTGGAAACTTTTAAGATATTCTGAAAGCCATTAGACCTATCTATGGGAAAAATTTTAATGAAACAACAGTCATAACTCATCTTCAGAGGCAAATATTGACGAATCCTTTTGGGATTTTTCTACTACTATGATGTATCTAAAGTTAACCAAACGGAATACTTTCATTACGAAGTATAAAAATTTTTCAGAGTCTTATATCTCAAAATGAAACTATTCATTTTATCTGATAATGTTTCGACATGATAGTAAATATTAATTCTTCTTCATAGACGAAAGTTCAGATCGAAAACCAACATATGACTCTTTATGATATACCTTGACATAGACGAAAACTTCATTATTAATAAAAAAAAATTGCATCTCAAGAGTTTCTTTTATCTTAGTACAAATTATTACTCAAAGAGAAATATTTACATAGGTCTCTGTTGTCCTGTTTGTATCCATTGTTTAAGCAAATATTCATAATAAGAATCTCCACGAGCACCAAATGATACAACACCACCTGAAAATCGACCAGTTAATGGACTAATAAATATTGGTACAAGACCATCTTTTTTTGATTGACTATGAAGTACAGCTGCAGATTTTTCAGCTGCATTCTAACAACAGATAGAAATAAATTATTGTTGTTCAATTAATTGAAGTTTACCTCATATTTTTTATCACCACTAACTCGTGATAAATCACGCATTTCAATTTGAACTGTACCAACTTCTGATAAAGCTGAATCAGAAGTCCATCTAAAATTTTTTATATAAAACAAAAAGTAATGTTTACATAAAAATAAATAAATCTAACCGATAACCACTAGCAGTTTTTCGCTTAATGTTAATTTCAGCAAATGGTAAACCTGTTGGTGTATTAAAATTGACTAAAAGTCGATCGCCTAATTCAATCTAAAGAAAAATATACATATTAAAATTCAATTTATATAATTTTCATTTTCTGTTTATTCTTACTGCGCGTTTTAAAAAGAGTTCATCCGCTGTTAAATGATAAATACTAAGTAAACCACCCAAGATTCGTATTGTTATTTCGAAATGTGAGTTGAATTTATCAACTGAATTAGAATCGCAGTCAAAATTTTTTTCAATCCATTCTCGAGCTTCGGTATATTCTAAAATTCAAATTTAATATAAAAATAGATAATCAAGTTTGCAGATCGACACAAACCTTCAGTCATATTCATGATATATAATGTATCAATACTATCAACAATTGTCAAGCCAAGACCAAACCATGATGAAGGTGATTTAGATAATGGTTGTAATTCATCATAACCCCATGCATAAGTTCGATATGCTTTCCAAGCATGCCGCATAGCATCTCGTACAGCTATTTGACGTTCATTTATTGGATCTAAAGAATAAAACTAGAATAATTAGTATTATCTGAAAAAAAACCACTTATTCTTACCCGAAAAAATTTGCTTTTGAACTTTGACTTTGGTTGATTGAGTTTGCTAAACAAATAAATCGTTTTTTTTAAACTTCCTTGTTAATAATTAAGTTTACTTCAATTTGTTTTCGTTGCCAAGCTTCTTTTTCTTTACTTATTTCTTGTCGATGATATTCTTCTGAAAGTTTAGCAATTTTTTCTGTTGAATGTGAACGAAAACCAATATAAATAAATATGCATAACAAAACAACAGCAAGGAGAAATACACGTTGTTGTCTATGTAATTGACGCCAATACTAAATCATTTTATTGAACAAAGAAAAATAAAACTAAATAAATATTCAGTCATATTGATGATCATACTCGATAGAGCGAAACCGAACTTCGTGTTGAATGAAATTTATCCTCCAAATCGGCGATATAATGACTTGTATTTTTCATTGAGTTAAACAAGAAATTTCATTTGCGTAAAATTATTGGAAGATCTTTATGGGACAATGATCTTCAGATAAAAAGACACCTTGTAGTTAAAGAAAATCGTTGATGATTTTTTGTTCTTTCTCTTTTAATGTTGCGTTTTTCGAAGAGTGGACAAAGAACGACCAATAAATAGAATAGGTTTTATATATATAGAGAGCGCTCATCACTTGTTTGTCAACTAGGTTAAGAAATAAACATAGACGATGCAAGAATAGATCTCGTCAGGTCCAAGATTTTCGAACCCGGCTGAACCATACTTTGATATTCTCGACGAAATTTTCTAATCGAAATTAGATATTCGTTTTGAAGATATGAGATACTTTTTCTCGACATTTTGCATTCGGTGTCTATAGTGTACCCTTCAAATTTCTTAGACGATTAAAGTCCATCGGCTCTGCATACTAGTATAGCAATAGAATGCAATAGCCTCCGCTGGTAACTCCCTATTCTAGTGACACAATCATATGTGGACTAGGTCTGATACCGCTGTGCCAACAGAAGAAAGAAAAATGTAATAATTATCATCATTAACACTATATCTCATGGATAATTGCCAAAATTATAGGGCATTATCCTATCATCTACGAATACTGTGTATGCCACTATCCTATTATGATGAATGATGTGGAAAGATTGATATAGCAGTGCTAAAATTTTATTCTATTCTATCTGTATGGGCATACTTTTACCACATATATCTTATATCTATCTGCATTATAGAAACTGAAGGTCGATTTATTAATAAAATACAGTTGAAGAAATACCAAGATCATTGTTCTTTTGTTTTTTGATCTGCGATAAAAAGAAGATGTCTATCCGTCTTCTCTGTTTTGTGTTCTTTTACAATTCTGTGATTAGCTTCTAATCTATTAGTTAAATGTCTGACAAACGTAAAGTTTCTTATTATTTTGCAAAAATAACTAGAAACTCCATTACAAGAAAAAATACAATACGTGCCACAGTTCATCAATGAATGTAACTATTGTGAATATAAATGAAAAATTTATATTAGATGAAACTGATAATTCAACATCAGTGCAATCGTCATGAAAGTATGGATATAGATGTTCATCTTCTCTGCGCCCACTCACACTCACATCCTATTTTCAGTTTATATTGAACGTGATTTTGCAATTGATTTAGATAATATTATAAATGAATTCTTGTCGAGAAAAAATGAAAGAAAAAACCTATTTTGATACTAGATACAGGAAAACTTCTCTATATGAGCACTTCCTTATTCTGAGCGTTGGGTGCTTATTTCTGGTCCCATGAGCAATAATAATCTTTGTCATGTGAGCAACATATATTCTATCACACACATGCTGAGCGAGAAAAGAATGATGTTATACGTATTGTATTGTGACAAACAATTATGGAACACATAGGACAGG